TGATGAAGCTTATGAATTTAAAATACATAGGTTATCTGTAGGCCTTGGAAAGTCTTAAAAAGCATTGAAGAAGCTTGAAAAAATGTTACAGTAATCTTATCTCTAAAATATTTTTGTATGTGATTGCAGGATAGCAAAAGACATTATATATCCATTAACTAAAGGTATGATTAAAAAAGTCTCAAATAAGTCTCTAATGTAGTATATAATTCTCAAGGGGAAAGTAATCGAGAGACCGTGGGTGTAAAAAATTATGTGGAGACATTGAAATACTCATTTAGATAAATATTAGTGCTATCATGCTTGTCTCATCTTGCTCTAAGGACCAATAACTTTGGTTCAGAATAACAGATAAAACATAAAATTAATCATCATGATGGCAGCCAAGATTGGGACATGGAAGGAGAACCAGAGGAACTATGGGATTTCATCTCCATGGCCCTGATCTCCTCTCTAACACAGTTACTAGACATTAAGGAGTAATTGAAGGCATAGCTGTGGAATTTGTATCAGCTGACTATTAACTTCCTCTTTACACCTAGACTAAATGATCTGTTTTTTTTTATACCATTATAGTTGTGTGTAACCTTTCAGTCCCTTTGCTTTATTAAACCTGCTATCATCACCTTTTGTAGCTGCCATGTTTCTTTTTAACACTACAGATGACTCTTTGGTCTTTGAGAGCTGTATTCACCACCCTTCCCGATGTTTTTCTCTCTGCAGACAGGACGTATCGACATGTCCTACCCCACTGTGTGTGGCCACACTGGGCCGGTCCTGGACATCGAGTTTTGTCCCCATAATGACAACATCATTGCCAGTGGCTCTGAGGACTGCAGTGTTATGGTAGGCATTACTGTATTGTAACAGCAAGCATGAAGTTTCAGTCTGATCTTTCGAGCATTGACTGTAGTGTTAATCTGTAATGTTTGAATAGATTTGGGAGATCCCGGACAGCGGGCTGACCACGTCACTCACAGAACCTGTTGTCAAGCTGGACGGCCACTCTAAACGTGTTGGCATCTTGAGCTGGCACCCCACCGCCCACAATGTGCTGATGAGTGCAGGTATTACACCATCAAGGCATTTACATGCTCAGACAGAGGGAGGTAGTCTGTTCCTGTTCACAACCAGGGTGGTATGAATGTCACAGATGTATTGTTGAATGAGACTCACACCTTTGCCTAACAGGAAGTTCTCACAGCCTACACCCACTTTTCTTCACTCTGAACAGTGATCAGCGCTCTTGTTAACACATTTCACAGGACTCCTTAAACCACTCAATCTGTGAGTGTTAGACAGTAAACTGAGCTAAATAATACGACCAACAGCTGAAAGGACAGGGCTATATGATTGAAACTGATAATATCAGGATGTCAGTAGTAGATAAGGTGGATAAACAATAATTGAATTATCGCCCAGCTCAAACAGCTGCTACTATATTATCTGGTACATTCCTACAGTAGGTAAGGTTGCAGAGATCACTTTGTGTGTCTAGTTCTGCAAAGACTTTTTCATTGGATTTCTTTATTTAAAATAGGTTCAGTGAATATGTTTCTTTTCTTTTCTGCGTAGTCATGGCAGCTATCACTGTTTAATCCATGCTCCACAGTCTGTATCCACGCTCCAATGTCTACCTCTGTTCATGTGTACAATTACTCTTAAAATGGCTCACAGTGAAGCCCTCTTTTGATTCACCACACCTCACTTCACTACACAGGCTGTGATAACGTGGTGATCCTGTGGAATGTGGCTCGTGGGGAGGAAGTGTTGAGGATTGACAGTGTGCACACTGACATGATCTACAGTGCCTGCTGGAACAGGGATGGCTCCAGGATTCTCACCTCCTGCAAGGACAAGACTATGAGGGTGCTGGACCCACGCAAGGGCACCGTCCTCATTGTAGGTTTCCTCCTCTTTACCGTCCCTACTTTGTAACACCACTGCATCTTTACCTGTCTTAAATTATATTTGTCTGCAAACATTTGTGACATTTAACTCACAATGATTAGGGCTGTAATTGAGGATTATTTTCATTATGGATACATTTTTTTGATTGATAAATGAATAATTTGGGTCATAAAAGGTAATAAAATAATGAAAAATACTCAACTTTTCCCAGAGTGCAAGATGACATCTTCAAATAGCTTTTATTTTTACTTCACTGACATCCAAAGATATGCAGTTTAATAAGATGTAAGACAAGAAAGGCAACAGCGGCTCGAGCAAATGTTTGGCATCTTTGCTTGACAAATGATAAACAATTGATCATTAAAATAATTGCAGATTAATTTTCTGTCAGTCGACTAATGGATTCATTTTCAAATCGTTTCATCTCTAATGATGACAGTTTCTATAATTTGTGAGTGAGATTTAGCTGTTTTATTAAGTAAGTATAACAGGGAGTCTGACATTTAACATTTTTAATCAGCAGCATTATCGAATTGATAATTAATCTCTTTTTGTTTATTCATGCACATGATAATGTCTGTAGCTCTGTCTTAACACCCGCTCTGCTTCGCCTACAGGAGAAGGAGAAGCCTCATGAGGGCTCCAGGCCCATTAGGGCGGTGTTTGTGGCCGACGGGAAGATCCTCAGTACTGGCTTCAGTCGCATGAGTGAGAGACAGGTGGCGCTGTGGGACCCTGTGAGTGTCAACAACCTGCGGGTTCAGCTTTAGGACTTTTATCTCTTTTTCCACTTAACCAAGATTCATGATCCTTATTTCTATCCCCCTAAAAAAGTGTTTTCCAATCTTTTGTATTTCTCAGCAATAAATATGAATTACTAACTGTTCACCCGGCCAATAAAAAAATAAAAAAACATTTATAGGTATAATATATTACAAGTTTAGCGCTCACAAACTTATTTAATCTGCTTCAGCAGAACTGTGTGGGTGGGGTCAACAGTGGCCTGACAACATGAACAACAATCCTGCCCGCTTTAAACCAGTTCAAACAAGAGCAAGAATTTGTAAAATGACATCTACTACAAAATCCTGCTTGTACATGCAGTATATATTTTAAACTGAAATTTTAAGGTGAATGTAAAAAACAGCCTTCTGGGTCAAACTCTGCCCACACACCATTTAGTAAAGCTCAAAAATCCAAATGACATAACAATAAGCAAAAATTCATTTATAGAATGAAGGGGGACTTACGTGAAAATCTTGAAAGTTTGACCCTTTGTAATAAGTGTTAATAATTTGTTACTAGGGAATTATTTACTGTATTTACAACACTGCTGTTTCACAACTGCCTATCTTACAGCACTATAAGGGCGTTGTTGCTCTGCACTATCCCACATCAAATCTAATTGAATGAATCTGTGGCTTACCTGCAGTCTGCTCTAGCAGCCTTTTTTAATACAGAATATCATATTAGATATAATCAAATGTATAACTCTGTGTATCTTAATCTCTTTTAACAGAGCAACTTTAAAGAGCCGCTGACCCTGCAGGAACTGGACACCAGTAGTGGCGTCCTTCTTCCATTTTATGACCCAGACACTGGAGTCGTCTACCTCTGTGGCAAGGTTAGATTTAGATGTTGAAATAACTCTGGTTCGGTGTCTGCCTCACCCACACGGACAACTGACGTTCACATCTCCTTCACAGGGGGACAGCAGCATCCGTTACTTTGAGGTGACAGATGAAGCTCCTTACGTCCACTATCTGTCCATGTACAGCAGCAAGGAGAGCCAGAAGGGGATGGGATACATGCCCAAGAGGGGCCTGGAGGTCAACAAATGTGAAATCGCCAGGTAGTGACATTTATGTCTTCATAAAACAATAAGCAGCTCAGTTGTTTTAGCTATGCTAGCAGTGTGGCTCTATGGATGGCAATGCAGTTGGTCCACCACTGCTCCAAACTGAAATAACTAAACAACTATAAGATGAATTGACATGAAATGTTGTACAAACATTCATGTTCCCTTGAACCTGACCTCATGTACAGCCTCACAGAGCAGCTGTAGACTTGTTTATAGTGTTTTATTTGGAGGGCAAACTTGCCTCTTTCCTTCAAAGTCTCAAGCTAGACTGAACAATTTAAAATACAAACAAATCTTTCTACTTTCAGATTCTACAAACTCCATGAGAGGAAATGTGAGCCCATAGTGATGACGGTGCCACGTAAGGTACAACATTCACTTTATATACTTGTATCAGACAGTTTGTGGGTTCATTTGTGCATTTCTGTCTTTAACTCTTCCCCTCTCTGTGTGCGCAGTCTGATCTGTTCCAGGAGGATCTGTACCCAGACACCGTCGGTCCTGAGCCTTCAGCCGAAGCTGATGAATGGTTTCAAGGAAAAGATGCCCCGCCCATTCTGATCTCTCTAAAGGACGGGTTTGCAGCGACCACCAAAGCCAAGGAGTTCAAAGTTCACAAGACTCTCCTGAAGACCACGACTGCTTCTGCTGGCAGTCAACAGGATAACAGCGGGGTGAGACATTTAAACATTTAAAGATAAATATCATGTTACATTCAAACTGTTTCACCTGTACTTTACTTGAGTATTTCATTTTTATTGTGTGTAATCAAACATACTCTTTCCTTTGTCTGTCTGTCTGTCTCTCAGGAGGTCCAGTCCTTGAGAAAGGAGGTGAAAGACCTCAAAGCAGCGGTAGAGGAGCTGACCAAGCGTGTGAGTGAGCTGGAGAGCAAGAATTAAACTAAAGAAGTTTGGTATACAAGAAAAATAAATCAAAAGAGAAACAATGGGGCAAGGAAATACTGTTGTGATTTTTGATTGTAGTGAGACAAAGGGAGAGATTTAACACAACGGTTGACAAAAATGGAACATTATAGTTCTTTGTCTTGAAGCTTGAATTTGTTTATTTGGTTTGTCTGATCAATTTGGGAAATTCCTATTTTAATATATGCTTTTAGTTTGAAATAAAATCTTGTGTATTTTCAAAATACTGTTTTGACTTTTTCTTTTTCAAACAAGGAAGAACAGGAAGTACACATGAAACACACATTTGAATTACACCAAATTTTAATCATTTATACTCATTGTTGTGCGAAATGAGAAATAAAACATGAGCAATAACAGACGTCATATATAAAATGTTTGAAATGTCATGTGGACCAATGTATCATCAGAGAAACAAGTGCACTCAGATGCTCCCTGAGGCCCACTGAGGTGCCTTTGGTTAAACTAAACTATTTTGAGCAGCCTTTTCTGACTCTGGATGATAGAAACAGTAAAAGATTGGAGAGAAACAAGTGACAAAGTGATAAAACAATGGTTGATTCGAACAATATCTAAAACATGAGGCACTACTGCATCTAAAAAAGGCCGTGCAGCTCTTTTACGCTGAAATATTGAACTTGGATTATCAGTTTTCTTCTCACAAATACACTTTCCAGAGTTTCAGAATCTTGAATGTTACTTGTACACTTGTCTGGATATTTTAAAGATGCAGTATTTCAAGAAAAATATGGAGAATGCAACAGTTTTGCAGCTGGTATAAAACCTGTTTTATCTATACATTTACAGCCTCTTTACCCTTTATTTCCACCTACTTTCAAATAGCTTATGAATAACCCTGCACCTAATAGTAAAACAGCTTTAAAGTGTAAAATATCACCAGAATAACTATGAATATGAAAGAAAGAAATTGTGACAGTTACTATGAGCATTCAGTATTTACAGAGACCTTTTCTGTTTTTTTCTAAACAACCCCCGGTGTCATCTCCTTCATCACTCCCCAGTATTTTACCAACTAAATCACCCTCCCCTCCCTTCTATCAAAACACCAGTCCCCTTCGTAAAGCCACTACACGTAGTTTTTACTGGGGGCGGAGGCATTGTTGCTGTAGTACTTGGCGGTTCCACCAGAGCTGCCAGAGTTGGGCCTGCTGAAGCAGCACAGCAGACCTCCAGCCAGAAGGAGCAGCACGCCGGCCCCCCAACCCACAAAGATACAGGCTCCCAGCTCCTGCTTCTGAGCAGCGCCCATCAGGGGGTCGTTGAAGTTTCGCACAACAATGTGGGCGGACCAGCTGACCGGGATGATGACCAACAGGCCAGCCAGCAGCAGGCCTATCCCGGCCACCAGGCTGATCTTGGGCTTGACCTCTTCGTTCTGCACACAGGTGGTGAAGTCGGCGCCGCAGAACAGGATGAGGAGGCTGAGGCAGGCGAACATGCAGCTGATGATGGTCATGGCGCGGGCGGCCTGCAGGTCAGAGGGCAACACCAGCAGGGAGTCGTAGTTCTTGCACTGCTGCTGGCCGGTACTCTGCACCACACAGGTCGTCCACAGGCCTTCCTGATTGCTCTACTCACACACACGGAGAGAAAGAAAGGTTCAGTCATTTCAAACATCAGTCATATCCAGGGGTGGAAAGTAACTCAGTACATTTACTAAACTTACTTTACTTGAGTGTTTCTATTCTATGCTACTTTACACACATCTACTCCACTACAGTCCAATGGGAAAAATTTTAGTTTTTGCTCCACTACATTTATTTCACAGCTTCAGTTCAGTAAATAGGTTTTACATACAAAGTTCAACTTAATGTCAACTTAAATATACAATCCTGCTACTTTTAATTAAGTAGAGGTCCTGAAAACATCAATATAATCTTGTTTTGTTGTGTTTATATATATAAATCCTAATAAATGGAGTGTAGCTAGTCACATATGACTGGAAACTTAAAAATAATTTTACCATATCGTAGTGGATTGTGGTAAAAAGAAAAAAAACTGTACACACTAAAATGAATGCCCATTTTAAACAATTAAAGGACAGGTCTGTAATTTTATGACCAAATGACCTAAAGGCATTTTTGCACAATAAAGATTAAAAATAAATATTTTGTTTGCCGGTTAACTGAGGCAAACTGATAAACAGTTTTACTGCTGTGTAGTAACAGTCATCATTATGGTGTAGTGAAGTTTTTCATTACCTGTGCAGTCACAATGTTGGAACCTGTGAAGGAGGAAACCCTCCAGAGCGGGATAGCGCAACATATGATCACCCCGATCAGGCCGAAGACCCCAAGGGCCACACATACAATCTGAACTCCAACAGATCCCATTCTGTAAAAGGACAAGACGGAGAGGAAAGTCAGAGGCACGAAGATGATAATTACAGCTGTTAACGCAGCAAATGTAGTACTTAACATTTCCTCCTTCAGCACAGTGTTACTGTTGTTTTGTACGTGTGAGTGCCTGTTGTGAATGGCTTTCCCAAGATCTAAGATTTATCCTCTTTTTCAACTTCGGCTAAGAATTTATTTATTTTTTAATTTTTTATTTGAGTTGCTCACTTATATCAAATTCTACTTTTAATTCCTTGTACTGCTACTTCAGTGCTGTTTAAGTAAAAAAAAAACTCTTCCTGTTTCTCTCCTTTGGTTAGGGAGGAGGAGTTGTTGAATCTCTTCCACTGTTCCAAGATTGTAAGATCCTTTTATCTGTTGTTACTCTGGTGTTACTGTTGATCTGTGGGGTTTTTTTTATTGCATAGCTGAACAGACAAACACCCGTTCCCCCTGACAGGCCTTCACAGGATTATGTGGCTTATGGCTACATTTTAAAACAAATTCATGTCCTGACGGGCCCGGGCCTCCTGGATCTCCACCCACTGGCTGAACCACTCCCTCGCACCTTCTTTCTTGGAAAATCTGCCGTACTTACTTGTACTCAAACTTTAACTTCAGATGAGAGTTAAAGTTTGAGTAAAAAAGGTGGAAGCATGAAAAGTGCTGCAGTTTAAAGAAGTACTGTGTTTTAATAGTTAATTTGCTATTGTTTTATTCTAATATATGGAATCTTTTGATATTGAAAATATGAAAAACACACACAATTAACATAAATGTAGGTGCTGGGGGAAAAAAAGCACTCAATAAAATTTCTAACTCTCTTTATTATTCAGTGCGTGTGAATAATCTGTTTTATGAAAAGGAGGCCCTCATCCACACAGACTATTCACACAAACCTTTACCAGCTAAAAACACCCAAAAGAGCACATTTTGTTGCATCTTTCTGTAAATGTCTCATGTTACACTCACAGAGGATTATTAAACCTAATTTCCTACGCCATAAATCTGGTGAAATAACAAAGGAGAGCCAATAACCCAGCCAGGGTTGGACAGGGTAACTTGGGCTGGATTTAGACCAGGACAAAAATATCTTATTTTAAGCATATGTGACCCGCCCCAGATCACAAACTTTCAGAGCAGATTGAACACTAATCTGATGTGGGTCACTGGATTTAAAATCAGATGTTTTCTCCTCCTATTACTGAAAATGCAGTCATTTTCCCTCAAATTACAGGATAAACATACACTTCATGCTAAGTGTGAAGTCTTATCAAACTTAAAACACAGACAAAGGGATCACAGACAAAAAGTATTGGAAAAACATATCAAAAACATGCTGCCTTTCATACCTTTTTTTTCCCCCTTTCCTCTCTCACAGCTGTTTATTTGCACTTTTCATGATTTTTACTGGTGCCCATAAAAAGGTATTCAACTAATCCTCCACCAATCCTTTCATCCTCTGTTATTTCAAGCTTTTGGAGAATCATATCTCCTTTCAAAGTGCAGGCTGTCCATCTGCATAAAAAGTGGATTAAAAAAATTATGCCTACCTTTTTATTTTGTGTCCTCTGAACTTCTGAAAAATTCAAAAATTAGGTGAGGTGTTTCTTGAGATTTCTTCCTTTCTTCTTGCCTGTATGTTGTTTTGAAGATGCTGTTTTCTGATGTACAATTATGCAGAGACTGTGTGATAAGATGGTGTATTTGTAGAGGAATGTGAGGTGTAGGGTGGGCCGGGCTTAAACTGGGAGGTACACCTTAAGGACCCTCAAGACTGGACTTGTCCTGTATGTATGTTTCCCTCTCTTTTGCACCCTTAGCCTTGCTATAGATCTTAGAGGAGTTCTTACTTAACACACCTCTGGGGATAAACCTTGGCATCAGTAATCCTTGACAAAAATAGTAAAAAACACACACACACACACATACAGGGTTGTTGTAATTGCAGTGATGATGCTGAGTGAATCATTTTATTCGCCATAAAAAAAGAAAATTGAGTCATCTGCTGATTTTCATCTCTACGCACCAAAACAAATACTACCGGGGTTTCCTTACCTGCACATTACCCCCCTCCCTCCACCTACCTCTGTCGAAACTGTGATGACGAATGTAAGGAGACTGATTTAGGAAACCAAGACTGAGTAGGTTTGGGATTTTGCGTAAGACTATGAGAGAGGATTGATGAGGGGATGGAAAGAAAATGAGGAAATCCAAAAGGAATGTTGTAAGACCAATTAGGCCTATACAGATAGTTTTTTACCAAATTAAGTGTTTTGAATTTGTTTTGCTTGAGTAAAAGTAACAATAAAAAAAGATCCTGCAGCAAAATAAAATGAAAGTATTAAAAAACCTACAATTTCAGAAATATATCCCCTCTGAGTATTATACTATCATATATTACATGATTGGATTCTTATTATATTCATACATGAGTGTATTTTGCTGCTATAGTTGGTTGGGGTGGGAATAATTTTAACAATTTCATATACTGTTTTATTAGATCATCATCATGTTTTGTATGTAAAATCTTAAACTGTAAAAGTAGCAGATAAATGCAGTGGAATCCAAAGCAACCCATTACCAGTTATACCTCATATATATATTATATAATGAATAAATGCACCTAGGTACATTATATCAGCAGTAGCACTCAGTGTGAGTTTTTCTGATCTACATGTCAAAAAAGCTGGATAATCAGGAAACTTAAATGCTATTAAAACAAATCTAATATTTCTCATTACTCTGTTTTTTTTAGCAATATTTCTTTCATTGACAGCAGATATAGTAACATGACCAGAAAGAATCAAATTTACTGTTTTTATTATAATTTAAAATAATCGGCCCCAAAGATGATTATAGATTTTAAGAAAGACCACAATCCTCCCTAATGATGTTTATTGTAGAGCTTTTTTACTTCCATTTGCACTGTTTACTGTAGCAACTGTTAATTTTATATATTATATACATACATAATGCATTATATCTTAACTTTTGTCTTATTTTAGATTCTGTTCTTAAGGTCAGGGTTTTTAATTTAGTTTAATGTATGTTAATGTATGTTTGTATGCTACTGGGTGCTTTGAATTTCCCCTTCTATTATGCTATTATCTATATCTATCTAGTCTATCTTATTCTATCTATCTATCCGTATGATAATCTATCTATCTATTAATCTATCTATCTATCATCTATCTATCTATCTATCTATGTGCTGCATTTACAATTGTAAACACTGGGCGTCGCCCTTTCCCCTTGATGCCATCGTAAACGACTGAAAGGGGGAGGGGCTTAAGTGACTGACCCGGCGTGCGACCAATCAAACGCGCCGATTCGGGTTCTGAATTCCCGGACGGACCAATCACCTTCTGAGAAACGCGTGAAGACCCCGGTTTGATTCAGCCCTGCTACGTTACCGTAGACGCTTCGGTGGAAAACGGCCCTCTTTTAAAGTTCCTAGGGGGAAAAAGAGTGAAAGGGGACCCGGACGAAAACCTTAAGGAAAAAAGGGGCCACGCTTGAGCTCGGAGGATACACATCCACACCGCATTTCATCCTAGGACGACTGTCGACGAAACTGAACACAAGGTTCGCGGTTTTACGTGTTTTTGTCACGCAGCTAACGTCAGCTAGCCTCGTTAGCTCGCATAAGCTTCATTCATCGACTCAGTCCGCTAATGTTGCTCGACGCGCCGACGCCAGGCATCGTTAGTTAACTAGTGGATGCTAAAAAATGTGTTTTGCGAGTATCTAACTGTTGTCCGTGTCCTTTTCCCCCTCCTGTGTGCTGCTGAAGGTGCAACACGGAAACACATCAAGGTCTCGACTGAACGTCAGAAAATAAAGAAAATGGCGGAGCCAGACAAATTAAACATCGACTCTATAATTCAGCGTCTCTTGGAAGGTGAGTGCCCCCTGAAAACCCCCCCGCTGTGTGGCCGTGTGCTGTGTTCAGAAAACGTGAAAATGTGGTGTTTTTATATTGCAGCTGCGTCGGGTGAAGTTAAAGGTAGTCGAGCTCTGTTGTAGCTTCAGACTCGATGGTTGGGTTTTTGGGTTTGGGCGAAAGCTTGTAGCCAGATCAACCCTGCTGTGTGCAGATTGTTGGTCAAAACCTCGTTTAATTGGAAATATATATGTGTGTGTTAATCATAGGCATCGATTTCCGTTTTATTCAGAGATGCAAATCAAGAAATTGGTGCATGTAAAGGAAAGAAACATCACACATACATTTTACGCATCTTTTCTTACATTTATGTGTTTTTTTTTTTTGCCTAATATGTGATGCTGAGCTGAGATTTCTTACTCGTGTATGTCTGAATAATAACTGTTATCAGCTGGAGAATTTGCTAGGAGCTATCTTGCAACGTGTTTACCCTCATTGACACTCAAGTCTTGCAGTAATAGTTTGTTTTTGTGCCCTTTTCCCAGCAGAGCTCCTCAGTAACATGGGCGGACTGTCCTGTGTTGTGCTTACTGTTTAGCTGTTGGCGATCTGATTACAGTTTGCTGCCACAACCTTCCCCAGAGTGACTTGTTGATGAGGTGTTTTCATTGGCACAAGCTCACTTAAAATACTGTGTGAAACTGCTGCTTGGCCATTTCTGCTCCTCCACTTAACCCCTTTTTTTTTTTAAAGCCCGATATGATCTAATTACATCGTTTTCCTACAAAGCAGTGTTGTATGTTATGTTATGTTCTCCCTGTGAAAAACAAAATGTCCCTAAGTGGATATATTAGAATAATTCTGAGTTGTTTTTTTTATGTTGTAAACGTCTGGCGTTTAAATGATTCAAGTCTTGCAACTCGAGTGGTTTTTTTTTTTTTGCGAAAAAGAAACTTGAGACACGAGGCGAGAGCAGATATGGAGTGATCGGTAATCTGTTACAGCTCTACAGATCCAACACAAACTAGTCGTAAGTAGCAGGTTTTACACGTCTGAATCCCCGCTGTGTACAGTGTGTGGAGACATACTTGTTATGGTTTTAGGTGTGTGTGTGTGTGTGTGTGTGTGAGAGAGGAAAAACAGGACTGTTTATCTTCATATCCACAGGCTGATTGTGTAACAGGAGTCCTGAGGACATCCAGCAGAAGTGTACATCTCTTTACACCAAACCATACAGTTCATCTGAAGAGAAGATAAATAACGCGGTGACCTCTGTAGTTGTCCTTGTGAGGCGCACATTAATGCACACTACACACACACACACACACACACTTGTGCTTTGTATGTTTCACAGGAGCAACATCACGTGTGCCGGTTACAGGTCGTGTGGTTGTGATTCATAAAGAATTGTGCCTTAAGTCGCAGTATTAGGAGCTGTTTCGGCCAGTAAACAGAATATTGTGTACAAAGAAAGTTTTCCCAGGCCTGACCCTGTTAATAAATAGCCCTGTTTGTTTGCCTTTTTTAAATATAGACCCTGCACGATCTGCACGGACTGAGCTGCTGAAGGTGATTGGGATTATTCACAAATATGCATGTGCAGTCATAATGCCTCCCAGGAGTTTGACTTTGACTGCGGCAGTGTTTTGTACATGGATTGTTATACTTGGGCCGCGATAACGTTGTCTGACAAACAAGCCTGACAGTGGCAGTATTTATATCCTCTTATGTAACTCACTTGACCTTTTTTTTTTGCCCGTTTGTGGTTTTTATTGCTGAGAGTAACCACTGGCCTGGTAATATAACTATTACGTTGATCTGCTTTTATTCCAAGACTAAAGTAGACTCCAGAGTCAAAAGATTGATAAATTACCAGCTCAGTCTCCTACGTGGACAACAAGGTTACCCCCTCGGTTGCCGACTGTGTTTCAAGACCAAACCAATTAAATGTGTTTGGATAATGAGCGCTTTCAATTGGATTACTGTCGTCGATCTAGAGCTAAGTGAACTCTGAGAGTATGTGTCACTAATAGCACGTCTGGAGAGCGTGACATCACATAAGCTCAGCCCGAACACGCAGCACTGAGTCAGGAGCGCCGGACCAAACCAACTGTTGATCCCAGCGCTGTTGTGCTGCTCCGGCTCTTTGTTTTCTGCCCCCTGATCAGTGTGGTGGAAAGCCTTTTGTCCGTACACACTGGCTATGTGGCTAACTTTGGAGTAAGCTCTGTCAGGGCTTAGCCTCTGTAATCCAGGTTTAAAGTGACAAGCAGCACTGCAGTATTTATACCTACTTTTCACTGTTTATCACTTTGCTTTTAGTCGCCGCTTCAGGATAGAGCCATTATTCTACATCCATTTGTTGATTTCTACTCTCACCCGCCCTCTTTTGTAAGCGCTATAAAAACTGGGTTTGTTATACTGAGAGATGGTCTTCAGTTAAGTGTCAGTGTGAAACAACAGCTGTTGAATGGTAAAGAATATCTGTGATCTTCTTGTTATGGTTTATAGCTTTCACAAAAACCTCACCTCACCTCACACGGTGATCCAACCTGTTGGTTTATCAAAAGTGTCAGAGTCGCCCTTTTCCCGATTCCCCAAATTGTTGAAATATAATTAAATCCTGATTTTTAGATACCACACGTTAATGTGATCACTTGTGAAATTGATGTGTTTTTTTTTTTTTAAATGCCTTCTGTGGTACATTAAATCAAGAGCTCTGTTCTGCTTTACCAGTCACTGGAAAACTGTCACATCAGTCACAAATGTTTCTTTCATGCGTGCTGTGGTCGATGGTCATCACAGTCTAAAGCATTTACACCAAAAAGGCAACCAACAAGTGCAATGAAACTGCATTTGCACATAGAGATTGAAACCTTGTTTGAGTTCTGCTCTGGTGGCATTAAAACAGTCATTTTATGTCAGCGTTTGCTTATGAAGGCATGTTTGTTGTGAAGGAGGTAGAGTACATTGGAAACAGGTTTTAAGTAATGGCAGTGCGAAATTGGAGGCAGTTTTCTGTCAGTGTTGATCTGGAATATCTTGTTTATTGGATGGTTAATGAGTAATACGATCTGAGTATTGACCAAACAACTATCATTTACATACGAGTGTGTAACTTTGCTAGTAGTAGGAAGTACAATTACAGACGGCTATCAAACAAGTGTAGTTTGAACAGAGCTTTATTCCCGCTGTAATTACTCATCCCTGATCTGCGTCACTTTGATTGTTTGGCTGTTTGTCTGCTAACACCTGACAACTCTTTAATCAATCCCATAAACACATTAGAGCGAACTCCATTCACACCCAGCTCGACAATTATTATCTCTGAGGCGTTTGGAGGCGGCTGTGTCTCTTCTGTAGGTGCGTTCCCCGGTCAGCAGGCTGTGGTAGAATAAGCTCATCAGTAGTCTTTGTACAGTTTGTGTCGGGATCTGCTCTTCGGCATCGAGCCGCACATGTAGGAATGGCGGTGTGATTGATTCTGTCAGTGATACACACACACACAGACACGACAGACACACAGCAGAGACACACCACACACAACACACACAACACTCACACACACAACCACACAGAACAGAAGAGACACACACACACACACACACACACACACAGACAGAGCAGAGACACACACACAGACACAGACACAGACCAGAACACCACACACAGACACAGACACAACAGACAACACAGACACACACACCAGTGCTGAGGTAAAGTCACATGGCAGCACGTCCACACCCTACGGTTGGCATGTCAATGTGCAAATATTTTGCTCTGAACTATGAACAGTGGTTACTTTGATATAAATCATTTGAGAATGCCTGAGAGACTCCTTTGTGTTTGTTTCCAGGGGTATTTCACTGCACTCCTACCTTTTCTAGCATCTGAGCCATGACAGCGTGTATTACAGCAAGGTGTCATTTTAAGGCAAATAATCTGTCAGGAAAATGAATTGGGTTCCTTTTTTCAAGTCTTTATCATGACTTGTGTTTGGCTTCGTTCAGTGTGTGTGTGATAAGTGTGAAAAAGCAGGAGAGACCTGACAAACCTGCTGAATCCTTCAGATGGCATCAGTGAAAGTATCAAGATGTTGCCTTAATTATTACATGCTAAACACTTTATATTTGATTTCATGTTGTTTCTTGGCCTTAGCTGTGACTTGAAACTGTTCCAGCTCGTAACATGCTGTTCTTTCTTAACAGTGCATACTAACAGAGTTGCAGTGTCTTTGCTGCAGCTTTATCAGCTAGAAGGGGAAGTGGGTTTGACATCTTTCTCCTAGCATGGGTTTGTACTGCCACCTAAGCAGACTGTTGAGGCTGACAACATCAGGTTACTTTCCATTGATCACGTTTTCTCAGCTGCTGCATGTCTGTGCATAGTACACAGGCTCATGTTGTTATGTTGTGGTTTCATAAACGTTAAAAAGTCTATCTTGTGTTAGGAACTTGTGGTTTCCAAAATTGAGAGTGTAATCTAATGTTTCAGTGATTACCTGCTGAAGTGCTCGTTAGACTGGACTGCTAACAGAAGTTGCCAGCATTTGTGTGGTGGGAGGTGTAAATATCACCCAAGCATCACGTTTCATTGCTGTGCCTTATGTCCTTCTTCATTCGGTCTTTCTTCGAACTCTTAGCACAGGTGTGTCTTTGTGTTGCCTATGAAACATCTGTCCCTTTTATCTCCCTTTTTTTTTCAGTCAAGGGCTCTCGACCGGGGAAGAATGTCCAGCTGACAGAGGGGGAGATCCGAGGCCTTTGCCTAAAGTCCCGTGAAATCTTCCTGAGCCAGCCTATCCTGCTCGAGCTCGAAGCTCCCCTCAAAATCTGCGGTATGTTTTGATGTAGTGGTAACTGAGTGACAAATGTATCGAGACAAGAGTTTGAGACATCATTAAGATATTACACTGTAGACTGACATGCAAGAGAAGATGATCATTACATAAGGTTATGTTGATGATTTACTAGACCGGTTGCTCATCTGTAATTGCCAGTTGTTAAATGTGGACTCTGCATGCACTAGCAGCTACACCCAGTATTGTCATTTAAATTGCGTTCCTCTGCTGCCCTCTGCAGGTGATGTCCATGGTCAGTACTATGATCTGCTCCGGCTGTTTGAATATGGAGGCTTCCCCCCAGAAAGCAACTACCTGTTCCTGGGTGACTATGTAGACAGAGGGAAGCAGTCACTGGAGACTATCTGCCTGCTTCTAGCCTACAAGATCAAATATCCAGAGAACTTTTTCCTCCTGCGTGGAAACCATGAATGCGCCTCTATTAATCGAATCTACGGCTTTTATGACGAGTGTAAGTGCAGAGTCTTTTTTTTTTAAACGGAAAGAATGTTGAATCTGTTCTCTTGACTGTTTAATTAACATCTCTTTCGTTGGTAGGTAAGCGACGGTATAACATTAAGCTGTGGAAGACCTTCACAGACTGCTTCAACTGTTTACCTGTGGCTGCCATTGTAGATGAGAAAATCTTCTGCTGTCACGGAGGTAGGCCTTGTTAATGTAAGACGTCACGAGGATTAGAGTATACACATTAGAAGATGAAAAGCAGACTGAGATTGGGTGTATGATCTCTCTCCAGGCCTCTCTCCTGATCTTCAGTCTATGGAGCAGATCCGCAGAGTAATGCGACCCACAGACGTGCCTGACCAGGGTTTGTTGTGTGACCTGCTGTGGGCTGATCCAGACAAAGACGTGCTGGGCTGGGGTGAAAACGACCGTGGTGTCTCCTTCACATTCGGGGCAGATGTGGTGGCCAAATTTTTGCACAAACACGACATGGACCTAATATGCAGGGCGCACCAGGTAATGTTAAGCCAGGAGGCCTCGTGCCCTTGCTAACTGAAACAGTGGGACGTGCATTTGTCCTCGTTTTATTAAAGGAGTAATAGTGTACCAGGATTTTATTTCAGCTCTTTTACCAAAAAGTACATTTTAGATTAATTTCACTATAAATAACAAGAAAGACAGGTGGTTACTTCAAATATACTAATATGTAATATCAGCTGCATAACATTATGACCAGCCTCTTGGTCATAATGTTGTGCAGCTGATCGGTTTATGTCCATAAGGAGTAAGTGACATTTAGTGGTACTGAAGATCCAGGGCTCAACCAGCTGCACTAAAACGGTACCAACAAGCGAGTCACCGACTGACCTTGTTTCTGTTTTTTTGTGCGTGGTATTGACATTACCTTAATTCTGTCCGCAGGTGGTAGAAGATGGTTATGAGTTTTTCGCGAAGAGGCAACTCGTCACCCTATTCTCGGCTCCCAACTACTGTGGAGAGTTTGACAACGCCGGTGCCATGATGAGTGTGGATGAAACACTCATGTGCTCCTTCCAGGTGTGTAAAACCAAGGCTTTGTCTGTACTTTTTCATCTTGTAACAGAACTAATGTGAACCCTGTGGAGGTTTTGACCACAGGTAACACTGTGGAGAAATGAATCTGTGCTTCGTATGTGCGTGCAACCACTGATAGACAATTGGCGGTCGGACGGTGCAAAGAAATGTAGCAATATTGCAAGAAGGGCAAAGAAGAAGAAAACTACAAGCCTGTCAACCCAGATGTAATCAATACAGGATTTAAAATACTGGCTTTGCAAATGTCTTATGAGGAAGGCAATACATTCAGGCCACTGTGCTTTTTGGTGAGGAAAAACTCAAGGCAAGCAGAACTTGTTTATCAACGCAAAAACTCCACAGGACACCATTTAAGTACAAATTAGATGAATTTCTACTGTCATCACAAGTGTTAGTGTGTATGTCAAACTAAATGAGAATGTCTTTGTCTCTCACAGATTCTGAAGCCAGCAGATAAGAAATTGTATCCTTACGGTGGAGGGGGAGGAATGGGATCTGGAAGGCCGGTCACCCCGCCGCGAAATTCAGCCAAGGCTGCCAAGGCCAAGAAATAACACCCGCTGGGCCCCCCTCCCACAACCTGCCACACCCCCCTGTCGGCCCAACGCTCTCTTTTCCTCTACCTCCCAAACTTGTTTCTCCCTCGTCACCAAATGGCAACAAAGCAGACAAGTGTCCAGGGTTCAATCATGTCTTTTCTCTCTAAAATTATTTTTAACTGTTTGTTTGCAATTTTTTGTGTGTCTGGAAAAAAAAAAGTGAGAATGGTAGAGAGGGAATTGCTGTATTCTGTATGTATGTTTTTTTTTTTTTTTTTTCTTCCTCCTGTACCCTGTGTTCTGTTTTCCTGTCATTTTGTAGAGATGGGTTCTTGCCCATCCGTAATGTCACTTCAAACCTGGGTGCAGGGGAGGAGGGGAAGGGGGAGAGTGAGAA